ACCACACAATTTTGATCGATGCTATAATGTTGACCGTGGTTACAATGTTGACTGAGGAGTTAATTTTGATCGAGATCCTAATTTTCAGCTGAGGGATAGATGCTTTCAATAAAGAAGGCCACTGGGTTTCGACTATTTATCTGAAGAAGATAATTTTCGACCAATGAATAATAATCGGGGTACAAATGTTTAAGAATTTAAGATGAAGATGGACTTGCCAAGTTTTGACGGCCGATTAAATATTGAAGATTTTTTGGATTGGATCCATACCGTCGAAATTTTTTTCGACTATTTGAATATCTCGGAACAAAGCCAAGTTAAGCTCGTGGCGTATAAATTAAAGGGTGGAGCTTCGGCATGGTGGGAACAACTTCAATTTAATCGTCAACGACAAGGAAAACAACGTGTGCAAACTTGGCCCAAGATGAAACGGTTATTGCAAAGACGATTTCTCCCCCCAGATTATGAGCAATTTTTGTACCAGCAATATCAGAATTGTCGACAGAACAATCGAACAGTAAACGAGTACACAGAGGAATTCTATCGTTTAAATGCCCGAGTTAATTTGTCTGAAACAGAAGCTCAATTAATTGCTCGATATATAGGAGGTCTAAAATTAGTCATTCAAGATCGACTAGCTCTTTAGGAGGTTTGGACCATAACAGATGCAGTCAATTTAGCAATGAAAGTGGAAAATCAGATGAATAGGACCACAACCCGTACTCAAGGCAATTTTCGACGACCAATTCAAGAAACTTATTCTACTCCAAAGGGTGCAATGACATCAGGCAACAATAATAATAACAGTAAGGGTACCACGCCAATTCAGAATTCGGCACAGAATCAAAGTGGAACTTCAGCTCCTGTTCAATCTAACAACCAAAACAGAAACCAAGCACAGCAACGAACAAATAATGACCCTTATGCGCGTCTTAATCTTGGAAAGTTCTATCAGTGTAATGAACTAGGACATCTTTCAAATAGTTCCAAACAGGCGATTCATTGACATTGTAGCAGATGGCGAAAGTAATGAAGAACAAAATTTTGAAGACGGTGACTATGAGGGTGGTAATGTTGCAGATGTGGATACTGGGGAAGAGTTGGCGTGCATTGTCCAATGCCTTTTACTTGCTCCAGAAAAGCCTGATAATTCTCGGTGCACTATTCGTAGTAAGGTATGCAACATAATCATTGATAACTGTAGTAGTGAGAATGTCGTTTCCAAAGTAGTGGTAAAAGCTCTAAATCTGAAGATTGCGAGACACCTTTCTCCATACAAGATTGCATGGATTAAAAAGGCCAAGAAGTTCAAGTTCTAGAGATATGTAAGGTTCCTTTGTCGATTAGGAAATATTACAAAGATGAGATCATATGCGATGTGGTGAATATGGATGCTTGTCGTATATTATTGGGTCGTTCATGGCACTATGACGTTGATGCCACTTATAAGGGGCGGGATAACACTTTCATATTTTGGTGGTTTGATAAGATCGTTTTAGTACCACAATCTCAACCTTTGGAAAATAATTTTGCTATCAAGGAAGATAAACCACTTTTTACCAACATATCAGGCCCAGAATTCTTTGAACAAGTAAAAGAGTTGAGCACTATATTAGCATTAGTAGTTAAAGGTCACTCGGAAGCAACTATACAGATTCCCGCCAAAGTTCAAAAGTTACTTGCTGATTTTGCTGATATAGCACCTGACGAGTTACCAAGCGAGTTGCCCCTATGCGAAACATTCAACATCATATTGATTTGGCACCTGAAGCTAGTTTACATTCAACATCATATTGATTTGGCACCTGAAGCTAGTTTGCCTAACTTACCACATTATCGAATAAGCCCAGTTGAACATGAAGAGTTGCATTGACGGGTTAATCAGTTACTTGATAAAGGAGTGATCCGTAAAAGCATGAGTCCTTGTGCAGTTCCCCCTTTATTCACTCCAAAGAACGATGGCAGTTGGCGAATGTGTATAAACAACCGTGCTATTAATAAAATAACAATCAAGTATTGCTTTCCCATCCTGCGTCTTAATGATATGCTCGACAGATTATAAGGGGGGCACTGGTATTCACCAAACTTGATTTAAAGAGTGGCTATCATCAGATCCGTATTAGAATTGGCGACGAGTGGAAGACAGCTTTCAAAATAAAGGATGGTCTACGAGTGGTTAGTGATGCCATTTGAGTTGTCGAATGCACCAAACACATTCATGCGATTAATGAACCAAGTTCTTCGTCCTTTTGTGGGAAAATATGTGGTAGTTTATTTTGATGATATTCTTATATACAGCAAGAATGAAGATGAGCACTTATCACATCTTAAAGAAGTTCTCTCCGTCTTGCGAGATAATAAATTGTATATCAATCTCAAAAAATACATATTTATGACTAATCAACTTTTATTTCTTGGCCTTATGGTGGGAAAGGATGGTATCCAGGTTGATGAGAAAAATGTGAAAGCAATATGCGAATGGCCAGCTCCTAAAATCGTGAGAGAAGTTCAAAGCTTTCATAGACTAGCAACTTTTTACAGGCGTTTCATTCGAGGATTCAGTATAATCATGGCACCTATTACCGATTGCTTAAAAAAGGTCAATTTCAGTAGGGTAAATGGCAAGAAAATAGTTTTGAGGCAATAAAAACCAAGTCATGCACTACACTGGTGTTGGCACTACCTAACTTCGAAAAAGTATTTGAAATTGATTGTGATGCTTCAGTTATGAGAATTTGAGCAGTATTATCTCAAGAAGGTCGCCCAGTCGAATTTTTCAGTGAAAAGGTTAGTGAGGCTCAGCGAAGTGGACTACTTATGAGTTAGAATTTTATGCTATTATTCGGGCTTTAAAGCATTGGGAACATTACTTGATACAACGAGAATTTATGTTATTTACGGATCATCAATCTTTGAAGTTTATTAATTCTCAAAAAACAATGAATCGAATGCACGCTGGATGGATCACCTTTTTACAGAAATTCACTTTTGTTATAAAGCATAAATCAGGCAAACAGACTAAAGTAGCAGTAGCAGACACTTTAAGTCGACGAGCATCTCTTTTAGCTACAATTAGTACAAAAGTAGTTGGGTTCGATTGCTTAAAGGAACTTTATGCAACTGATAAGGATTTTGGCAATATATGAACTTGATGCAGTAATAGGGAATTTATACCCGATTACCTACTTCAGGAAGGATTCTTATTTAAAGGAACGCAATTATGCATTCCTCGTTCTTCTTTGCGTGAGCACTTGATTCGAGAATTGCATGCATGCGGATTATGAGGACATGTTGGTCAGGACAAGACAATCAGCTTGGTTGAAGAAAGATTTTATTGGCCCCAGCTAAAAAGAGACATTGGTCGTTTTGTTTAGCGTTGTCCCATATGTTAGAAAGCTAAGGGACAAGCTCAAAATACTGGACTTTATACCTCATTGCCTATTCCAGAAACAATATGACAAGATCTTACTATAGATTTTGTTCTGGGTCTTCCACAGACTACACGGCATTCCTCGTTCTATAACTTCTGATAGAGATGTCAAGTTTCTAAGTCATTTTTGGAGGACACTGTGGAGAATATTTGACACTTCTTTAAAGTTTAGTAGCGCGAGTCATCCACAAACAGATGGACAAACAGAGGTGGCTAATCGAACTCTTGGCAATATGATTTGAGTAGTCAGTGGAGATAAACCAAGGCAGTGAGATGTTGCCCTTCCACAGATTGAATTTGCTTTTAATAGTATGCTTAATCGATCCACCAAGAAGACTTCATTTGAAGTCGTATACATTAGTGTTCTAAAGCATACAGTAGATTTGATTTGACTTCTAAATGTCAATTCTAATGCAGAAGAGTTTGCTGAACGTATTCAAAGAATTCATCACGAAGTAAAACAAGATTTAGAAGATGTTAATATTCGTTATAAGATTGCTGCAGATCAACATCGACGCCTTAAGATGTTCAACGAAGGTGATTTGGTGATGATCCATCTCCGCAAAAATCGTTTTCCTGTTGGCATTTACAATAAGTTTAAAGATAAGGAGATTGGTCATTTTCGCATTCTTCAAAAGATTGGTGATAATGTTTACAAAGTTGACATTCCCGCTGATATGAACATTTTCCAATACTTTCAATGTTGTTGATATCTTTAAGTACTTTCCTCCAGATGAGTTTTTCTTGCATCCACAAAATTCGAGAGCGAGTTTTATTCAAGTGGAGGGGATTGATGTAGTACATCACAACTACAATTAATAGTTTCACTTTATCTAGAAGTTTGTCTTTTTTAAATTATATTTTCTAATTTCATTTTCTAGTTGTAATAGGTTTATTCTTAAATCTTGTTTAGATTATGATTAATTTATTTCCTTTTAGAATTTAGTTTCCTTATTTTAGTTTTCTTTTGTTAATATGATTATGGATAATTTTGCCCATAAATATAGGGGTATTGTACACTTTTTAATCAATCAATCATATATCAATACAAAGCAAGATTATTCCAATATAGTTCTTATTTTCAATTCTTATTACAAGAATTTCTAAACGTTTCCGCACCAAAATATGTTTAAGGATTAGAATTTTGCTTATTCCATCCTCCAAATTACAAAATGCCACTACTTTTGTCTTTGGCATGTTCATATCATGTTTCTTGCATATCTGAAATTAAAATTGAAAATATAGGACACCACGTGGCATGTAGGACATGTGCCGGAAGTGTGTTTGGGCTGTCCTTTGCCTGTTGGAAATTTAAAAAATCATATGAAAGTCAGGATATCGCATGGCCTATTGGACATGTGAATTGGTTTGTTGGTGTCCAATAATTGTGGCACCGACACTCCACCTCAAAAGGAGTCTATTCTTGATGGTTAAGACTGTTGCTATCTTTTTAGATATTTAACTTGTTTGATGTTTTGGTATTGTTAATAATCTCTGCATAAACATTGTCGACTGTGTTGGAAATTCTTTGGGAATTTTAATATGATTAGTCTCTTTTGAACTCAACCAGACTTGTCGTTAAGACGTCACAGTTGGAAAGTGAAAAGACACAGAAGGAAGTTGAGGTCCAAAATCTTATGGAGGAGAATGTGAGGCTTACTGCTCTTCTTGACAAGAAAGAGGCTCAACTCGTGGCCATGAATGAACAGTGCAAGGTTATGGCACTGAATGCTTCCAACATCTAGTTTGGCAAATTTGCCTTATCCTCTGCAACTCAACTCACTTGGTGAACCTTCCAGTAAACCAAAAGGGAGTACATCAGATGAATTCCACCGAGGTACTTATGTTAAAACGTACCATGACAGTAATGTTGTACTTTAAAGTGGCTCGTGTTACCTCATTGAGGCAAGTTGAACTGATTGAAAACAAACTTTCCTATCTACTAGGTATCTTAATTGCATTATATTTGAACAACAGCGAATGTACCGTATGATCTCAGTAAATTGCAAGACTATGAGAGGTTGTAGCATGCTAATATTGCATGTCCTGCACCTAACAAATTCCCAACTTTTATTTTCTTTCCCATTCTGTCTAAATAAACAAGTGATTTACATACATAAAGTTTGGAAAACTCAACATCATGAGACAATTCCGTTGTAATATTGGATACTCTTTGGTGTGACGTACTTGCCTGGAGCCATGTAAGCCAATGGAGGCAATTCTCAGCAGATATCATTTGCAAAAGTAGTGGTGATAGGGCCCCCTATAATTGGGTTCCAAGCGGACCACTCCTTTTATCCGTTACTTAAGGCGTGGGCTGGCCCAATATCCAAGCTTTTTATTTACAATAATATTCAGATGCCACGAGTGCTATCGAAGTGTAGCTGACAAGAGATTCCTATCAACTACAAATAAAACCTTATGTTGTACTTTTAACATATGCTCTTCCTATTGTTTCAGGGGAGTTCCTCGTCATTTTCGCAGGTTTTAGTAGCTTAGATTAGAAAATGGTTGTGACCATCATCTTTTGTGTATTCCCCATATATTGTCATCCTTTTTGCTAATGCCCGGAGTTGAGGGTTGCATTGTTCTTATGTTGAGTGAAAAACTGGATTTCAAAGAAGCAGAGGGTAGATTATTTAGCCTCCGTTTTGATGAATTAATAAATGGTTTAATTTATAACTGGAAAGAAATGAATAATTGATAAGTGGATAGTAGTTGTGGTGTTCTTTAGAATGTGTATTTGAAAAATAAATTTGACCATTATGTATGATTTATAAATTAGCCAAACAGAAACTTTGTATCTCTTAACTTTGATGAATTTTGTCTTCAAATGAAGCATTTATTGCAGATTTGTTTCATATGCTCATGAGATATGGCATTTTGCCCTGGTTGGGAAAAGATGGTTGTCGATGCCAAAGATTTCATTAGTTTGGCAACTGATGTGGTTCTGTTTAAGTTGGGATGGCATGTAGCAGCCTCACATAATTTAGTCTTCGTTAGAAATAAGCCCCAAGGACGAGAGTAACATGCCTTCACATGCTAAATTTCATACTATGGTAGTCATTCTCACAAATTGAATATGACCTTGTTTTTATTATTAAACATGATGGTCATTGCCTTACCTTTTAGAGCATGTTTGACAGGCATATTGACTAATAAAAAAGAAGCTATAATTTTATCCATTGTACCATTTGAGTCATGTCCAGTAGTGTACTAAACATGATAGTGAATCAAGTGATTATTGGGTATTGGAGTCTATCTTTTCTAGTTTCATTAAAACTTGCACATGCAACTAGTGGTACCAAGAAATGGTAAGTTGAATTTCTGTGATGGTGCTTGAGTTTGGATAACTTTGATGCTGGGAAAGGTGTGTGGTGGGAATGGGGGATTATGAGGCAGTTGTGCAGTCCTCAGAACATGGGCAACAAGTTATTATATGTCGAGGAAATTGAGGGCATAGGCTGAAGTGGTGCTTATTTTCGTTGGACTTAGGAATGAATGTTTGCTCACATATTTATTCCTGCTCAATTTTGTCTTATTAGGATTTGGCAAGGTTCACATGGGAGATGGTTCTTCCACAATCATTATGTCTTTTAATTCTCACTAGAAAAAAGATGAAGATGAAGATGAAAAAAAAAAATTGTGCTTGGGTCAATATAATCTCGTTGTGTAGTACAGTTAGTTTGATGAAAGGAATGCTCTCGCTTCAATACTGTTATTTGCGTTACAAAGTAGGTTATAAGTGTTGTTTGATATGTTGGATAAATTTTTTTCACGTGTTCTCTACTCCAGTGCAAGACATTCACCGAATAATTGTCTTTTTCTCTTCATTGCCCAAAATGTTCAAGCTCATCTTCTAAATAGTGTTTGGAGAACAAAATAATTAACACATTTTCTTTCCTCCCCCTTCCCGGCATATTACTATAGGGAATAATAGAGTTGGCTTTCAACTTTTCATGAGGTATGATTACGTGTGTGATTATGGATCTTCAATCTTCAAAATTGATATTTGGGATGACAACCCTATTTAAGAGTATGCTTGATAAAGTTTTTCAAATATTATTAGCGATGAGTCTTATGGAATGTGACATAAAAATGATATTTGACTAGCTTGTAAGTTTGAAAAAGTTCATGACCAAAACCGTCAATGTCGATGTACAAAGCACATGTGACTTTTCCCTTACGTAAAAGTTGGAGGATAAATTGTTAAAAGCACTTAATATTACTCTTCATTTCAATTGAAACTAGCGTGTGATCTTAACGTCCATATTAACGATTTTGGTCATGTGGGCTCCATATTTACAAAGGTAAATAAATTAGAGGCTCAAAATCAGTTTTGAAGGTGGGGTACCCTACTCAAATTTTCTTTAATATTATATTAAAAGTGTATGTTTGTTAAAACTTTATGTAAATTATAAATTATGGGTTCTATAGAATTTGTGAATAAAAAATGAATAAAAGTTGTGAGTTATACTGAATGTGTGAATAAAATGATATTTGACCAGCTTACACGTTAAAAAATGCTTTGGGACTTGTAATAGTATTTAGTGAACCTTGTTTTACTTTATTTTTAAACTTCATTTTTCTTAAAACTCAAGTTCAACATCTAATAAAATAATTTTGCACATGAACCTATAATAATTTTTCTACCTTTTAATCATAGATTTTCAATAAAATTCAATTTTCACAAAATCTATTTTAAAACACAAAAGTCTCTACGAAACATAACTAAACCCTTGTTTGATATTTATTTTTTTCAAAATACATTTTTCTCTTTCTACTTTTCAATCACGCATTCCTTAATAAAATAATATTATACGCAAATCTAAAACTTTTTTTTAATCACACATTTTCCATCAATCTACTATTTTAAAATGCATCATTACTATAAAAATGGAAAACAACCATGCTCTAAAGGTTATATCATTAATTATTAATCTGCTTTAGAGCTTATGAGATAATTCGTGACGATTTATGATTTTTAAAAAAAAAAAAAATTATCGTGGCTAAATGAATCATAATTGGTAGGTATTTTTAAAAAAATATATTTTTGAAAAAACATATTTTGTATTCATACATTTCATGAGACCTAAGAGTATTCCTCATTTATCAATTACTCATTTTTATCTATTTATAATTTAAATTAGTTATAATCACCTATCCAACGTGCATGCAAAACAAAAATTTGCAATTTTTTTTTTTAACCACAAAATAGGCTTATAATTGTTTCTAGAAGTGTCAAATCTAGGCGGGCCATGATTGGCCCGAAGTGTCCAATGAATCGATCCATAACCCGAGTAGGCTGGTCCACATGTCGATGGTTGAAAATTCCATGCCACCTGCGATCTGTCAAGGGCAAAGCCGAGCCAGGCCGTTACATGAATTGGACCTCGGGGTAAATCCACTAATGGTCAATGTAATTTTTATTTAATATCCATTTGATAAGTAAATGTGAAAATGAATTATAATTTCATGTTAGTTGGAAAATAAAAACCAACCAAACTCATAGAAATTCGTTTTTCCTGAAAACAAAGAAAATGCAGTTTAAAGTAATTGTATTTTGGAATTCGATTTCAATTTTTACGTTGCAATCACACGGTTAAAGTGGAATTCATTTTTCTCGGATGTGACATTTTCTATGGAAAATGTGGCAATCAAATAGGGCTTTTGTGTCACCATGATCATTCAAATTGATTTTGATTTACCATTGCCACTTTACTTTATATTTAGAGTATGTTTGATTGACAATTTTTTTCTTGAAAAATATTTTCCAATTTTTGGTCATGTGATCATATTTTTCTTAATTAATAATTTTCATACAAATAAGTTCTAAGCAATTGAATTGCCTAGAATTTATTTTCTTTCAATACAAATTCTATCCTAGCAATCAAACGCACCCTTAGTGTCACTATGGCCACCCAAATTGATTCTGATTCAACATGGCCACTTAACTTCATATGACATTTCAGTCAAGTCATCGGATTATTACAACAAACAAACACAAAAACACATTAAAATTTTTTACACATAATTATAACCACACAAAAAAAAAAAAAAGGGAAAATGAGAATTAGATTAAAAAAAAAAAAAACTCACACACGGTAATCATTATGGATTTAAAAAGAAAAAAAGAAAAAGATATGAAAGCAGAAACAAATTTTTTTCTTGATTTGGATTTAATTTATATTATATAATTTTTTAATGTGCTTGTGGATTTTTCTTGTATTTTTTATTAGTAATTTTTTACTCCGTAATTTTTTTTCCTTTAATTTGGGTTTGATTTATATTATATAATTTTTCCTGATTTGGATTGGCGAAGTTTTTATTTTTGCGTATGTGAAAGTGCGTGTGTGATTAGTGGTGGCGGAAACCAAAAAAAAAAAAAAAAGTGCTTCTGTTTTGATATAATTTTCTTTTTTCAATTTTTGTGCATTTTCTTTGCTTTTCTTTTTTAATTTTTGTTCCTAATTCTCATTTTTTTTTGTGGTAATAATCGAGTAGTTTGACTGAAGTGTTATATGAAATTGGGTGGCTTTGGTGAATCTAAAACAATTTGAGTGGTCATGATGATATTAAATATAAAGTACAGTGATCATAGTAAATCAAAATCAATTTGAATGACCATAATGACATTAAATATAAAGTACAGTGACCATGAGTGGATTTAACCAATTGTTTCATTTATTTCTCATGAACAAAAAGGTCGTGAGCTTGTGTATTGGGAAATAATTCCTAAGTCAAT